GGATTGTTGAAAGATTTCTATTTGTAGTCCATCAATTCCTGATCCTTGTTTTTGCCAGTGCCTTCAGTGCAGATTGAACTTCTTCCTTCAATACCAGTTCTTGACCACATAGTATGTCTTAAAATGGTTAAACATCAACCATTTCTTTTTGGGACAGTGACTCTGGAGTCCTGGTGTGGCACTGTGGGATAATGCACTGGACCAAAATGTCAGTTTGAACCACAAGGTCGGAGGTCAAATTCACCTTGTATAGGAAATCTTATACAAGGTCACTATGAGTCAGAAGTAACTTGAAGGCACTTAACAACAACAAATACACAGTGACTCTATGTATTCCTTCTATCTTCTGCTTTCTGCATCCTTCAATATTTTGCCAATAGAATCCTTCAATATTGCAAGTTAAGGTTTGAATTTTTTCTTCAGTTCTTTTAGCTTGAGAAATGCTGAGTGTGTTCCTCCCTTTTAGTTTTCTAATTCCAGGTCTTTGCATGTTTCATTATAATACTTGTCTTTGTTTTCTTGAGCTGACCTCTGAATTTTTCTGTTCAGCTCTTTTACATAATTTCTTCATCACTTTTGTATCTCCACACTAGATAGCAAGTTTCAGTCTCTTCTGGCATCCATTTTTATCTTTTCTTTCTTTTTTTTTTTTTTTAATGTTTTATTGTGAATTATGTGGAGCTCTGGTAGTGTAGAGGTTATGAATCAGGCTGCGAGCCACAAGGTCAGCAGTTCGAAACTAACAGCTGTTCTGTGGGAGAAAGATGAGGCTTTCTGCTCCTGTAAAGATTTACCGCCTCGGAAACCCTGTGCAGGGTCGCTATGAGTCAGAACTGACTCCACGGCACATAACAACAACAACAACAACAACATGTGATAATTTACATGGGAGAACATTAGTTTTACATTCGTCCTATCATAATATCGTTTCATTGCCATGGTTACAATCCCCTCCATGCATCATCAACCAACCAAAGGGTAGACCCTGCAAGCCTGCCCCCTGGTTGTCAGCACACAGCCCCTCTCCCTCTCTGGGTCTAGAGTCCCCAGCCACTCCATCTCTCCACATCATCACCTCTGCTTCCATCTCTGGCATCACTGCTTCTCTGGGTAGGATCCCACTCTCAGCTCTTCTCCCTTGATGGTCCCAGGGACCTCCGCTCCTAGACTGCAAAGTTAATCATTCCCCTCGTTTTGCTACAAAACGTCTACCTTTACATTTCCAATCCTCACAATCAGTCTTGATAACAATAATTCACTATTGTATCACAAGAGACCTAGGTTCCCTCTTGAAAGCTTGTAAGCCAGTCTCTTCTTGCCTTTGTAGACCCCCACTTTGGATAGCCAATGTCCAAGTTGCCCATCCCTGTCTATTCTGTGTAAGGAGGGGGTGGGAGTGATCCTTGCTGTAAAGATTTGTTCCCTCTTTTGAGCTACTGCATCTATAGGTGTAGGTTAAGTTCATCAAACTATATCAGACTGCTCTTTTTTTCCTCTTCTTTCTTCTTCTAGTTGAGCTCTGATCATTCAGTCACTGAAGCCAGGTTAAGTGGGCATTATCTCCAAGTGTGGGTGTTCTTGTGCATATGCCCTCTCTTATCAGCTGGACACTTCACTCTCCACTCTAGTCCTCTGTGGATATGTCACTGACTCTGGGCCGAAGACTCTCCAGGTCTTGCCACACTGCTGGCCAACCATCTTTCCTGTCTTTTTAATGACCTTTTGCTTTCTGCCTGTATAATACTCTTGATGTCATCCTATGCCTTTTCTGGTCTTTGGTCATTAGTGTCTAGTGCATCAGAGATATATTCTTGAGATGATCTTTAAATTCAGGTAGGAGATATTCAAGGTCATATTTAGGCTCTCGTGGACTATTTTTTAAGAAAAAGCTTTTTGTTGTGAATTGAGTGTCATAGTTTACATGAGAGAACATCAGTTTTGCACTCTTCCTGTCGTATTTTGTTTCACTGCAATTATTACAATCCCTTCCATGCATCAAATTCAACAGTAGTTACTTCTATTCCCTGTTATTTTTGTTTTTTATGTACACAAAAACACTCAAAAATATACAATCATTTAACCAAAGGGCACATTCTGCAAGCCTTCCTCCTATAGCCTTTCTCTTTCCATGAGTCTAGAGTTCTCAGTTGCTCTATGTCTCCATGTCATCACCTCTGCCTCCATCTCTGGTGTCGCTGCTTCTCTGGATAGGGTCCCACGTTCATTCTGTTCATATTCCTCTCCCTTGGTGGTCCTACGGTCCTCTGTTCCTGGAATGTTAGATTAACTATTACCCCCTCTATGTTACAAAACTTCTACCTTTACAGTTGTGACAATCACAATTAGTCATGATAACAATTACTCACTATTGAATCATATGAATATTATTCCCATCTCCTTTTACCAGACCCGCCTAGACAAGATGAAAACTATTCAGTGGGGATTCTACTTAACCCCACACACTCTTAAACTAAATTCCCTCTTAAAAACTTTTAAGCCAGCCACTTTGTACCTTTGTAGCCACCCCCACACCTCACCCCACCTCCATTTTAGGTAGCCAATGTTCTTGTGGACTTTTGAATTTTTTTTCCTCAGCTTCATCCTGAACTTGCATATAAGTTATTGAGTTTTACAGTTGGCCCCTGGCCTTGTTTTGGCTGATATTGAGCTTTTTCATTGACTCTTCCCACAGATGCAGTCAACTTGCATCCTGTGCAGTCTATCTGGTGAGGTCCATATATACAGTCAATCACCTTTTATGTTATTTAAAAAGGAATTTACAATGAAGAAGTCATTGGTCTTGCAAAATTCTATTATTCGATCTCCAGCATTATTTCTGTCACCATACTTCCCAACTACTGATCCTTCCTCTTTGCTTACAACCTCTGCATACCAACCACCAGTAATTATCAATACATCATGATTGCATGTTTGATCAATTTCAAACCGAAGAAATGGTAGAATTCTTCAATTTCATCATGACTGGCTTTAGTGATTGGTGTGTAAATTTGAATAATAGTGATATTCATTGTGCTTCCTTTTGTGTACCATGGGGACGGCCAGCAACCCAGTTTGTAATCCCTTACACTACCAGAGTTCCTGGTCTTCTTAGTAGGTATACGGATATTATCCTATCACATATACCATTGTACTTCAGAATAGATCTTGAAATGTTCTTTTTGACAATGAACTTAATGCCATTCCTCTTGAATTTGTTGTTCCAGACATAGTCAACCATATGATTGCCAGATTCAAAATGGCCTCTACCAGTGCAATTCAGTTCACTAATACCTAGAGGATCAATTTTTATGTGTTCAATTTTATTTCTCACAACTTCCAATTTTTCTACATTCGTACTTTGTACATTCCATGTTCTGATTCTCAGTGGATTTTTGCAGCTGTTTTTCCTCATGAGTTGTGCCTCATCAGTAAATGAAGGTTCTGAAAGCCTCCATTTGTGTCATCATGGTCAACTCAACTTTGAGGAAGCAGCTATTCCCTGTCCTATTTTGGGTGCCTTCCAACCTAAAGGACTCATCTTCCAGCACTATATCTGACAATATTCTGGTGTTATTCATAATGTTTTCATCTTCCATCACTATACCTGACAATGTTCCACTGCTATTAATAAGTTCAATGGCTAAACATTCAGGAATAATCTGCCTCTACTTCTTTCAGGTCTGTTTTTAGTCTAGAAGCTTTGTTGAAACTTGTGCACCATGGTTGACCCTGCTGGTATTTAAAATACTAGTAGCATAGCTTCCAGCATCACAGCAACACACAAGTCACCACAGTACAACAAACTGACACACAAATGGTAGTTTCCTGGTGTGGCAATGTGGGATAAAGCATTGGACCTCAAGGCAGTCGGAACCGCAAGGACGAAAGTTTAAACCCACCAGCCGCTCCTTGGAAATTCTATACAGGGTTGTTTTGAGCTGGAACCAACGCGACAGCACTTAAAAACAACAAAGTCTTAATATAGAATACTTGGTATCTGTTAGGAAAAATGAGGTAGAACTGTGTTATAGCATGGAAGGATCTATTAAACAAAAGAAAACAAGGAGCTGAACTGAACAATTTGTATACTATGATCCATCTATGCAAAAATGAATTCCTAATCTATAAATTGAAACAAAATCAAACCCACTGCTGTTGAGTTGAAACTGACTCATAGTCACCGACAGAGCAGAACTGCTCCTTTGGGTTTTTCCGAGACTGTCAATCTTGATGGGATTGCCTCATCTTTCTTCCACAGAGCGGCTGGTGGGTTTGAATGGCTGCTCTTGAAGTTAGCAGCTCAGTGTTTAACCTACTGCACCACCAGGCACCTTTACACGTAAATACAAAGAAAGGTCTGCAAGGATGAACTCCAAACAATTAAACTTTGGAAAGTAAGATTATAATGGTGGTTGATAACAAAAGATGTTTACTTTTTATCTTGTATAATTTTAAAGTTTATAAACATGCATGTGTACTTTTCATTAATTTTTGTACTGAGGTATTTTTATTTACATACCATAAAATTCACTCTTGTGCACTTTAAGGAGTCCTGGTGTGGGTGCTATAGGCTAAACACTTGACCACAAGGTCGGTTTGAACCTCAAGGTTGGTGGTTCAAACTCACCAGCCGCTCCTTGGAAACCCTATACTAGGTTGCTATAAATCGGAACCAATCCCACGGCACTTAACAAGAGCAGTACACTCACCAAATTATGAAATTATCTAATCCCAGAATATTTCATCACTCCAAAAAAGAAACCTATAACTGTTAGCAATGACTCTCCATTCCCATGCTTCCTCCAGTATATTTAATTTTTATTAACTTTTAAAAGAATAATAGGGAAAACTTAAAAAAATCTAGAATGTTGTCTCTACATTTTTGGAGGGTGAAATCCAAGAATTTAAGCTCTGTCCACCCTTGGCTATGGATAATTGGAACAGAATACCAATTTTTTGATGTTTGTAACAAAATGAAATTAAAAGCAACTATCCTCGAATTCCTTTTTGTAACAGAAGCTATTCACCCGCGTACCCTTTGAAATACTATCCACAGATATTGTAGACAGTGCAGAGGAGGGGAAGGAGACGGAGGCAATGGAGAGGGGGGAGACACAGGGAGGGAGGTGTAATAAACTCTGAGTGGTGGAGAGAAGGCTATTTTCTTGGGCCACCTGCCTCTCTAATCTTCATTAAGCAAATAGGAAGGACTCATAGTACTTTAACTTTTCCTATGGCTACCGGTAGGTGGTTTGGTTTTTGTTTGCTGTAAGTGTAGCCCGGAGACTAGCAGCAACAGCGACTTTTTTTTTTTTTTTTAATTAGAAATGAGTATCAGACCCTACTCTTGAATTAGAGTGTATTTTAACAAGGTCCCCATGTAACTCGTATCTATATTAAAGTTAAGAAGCATTGCTGTCTTAAATTCCCCAAAGACAATTCAGAGCAGCTGTTTCCTGCAGGAGACAGAACAGGTGGGCCAGGTAAGGGGCGGGCTCAGCACCCGGAGGAGCAGAGTCCAAGGCACCTGTCCCCAACCTTCACTAACATTTGGCTAGGATCTATACAGGACTACCTGTCCTCCTTTTCCGATAGAAGCCATCTCGAGGGCTCACGAAACTCGTCTCGCTCCGTCCTGGGCCGCGAAACTCTCTCCGATCGCCAAGGCTACGAAAACGTGGAGTCAAAAGAACCGCCATGAGATCGCGAAGCTACTCCTACCGCAGCTCCGTGACTCCACCCCCACCTACTTAGGGGGTGGAGTCCAGGGACCGTTCGGGCATGCCCCTTCCGAAGCAGCCGGAAGTGACGTCATGCCAGGGCCGGCAGGTCTTTCGGTTTTCTGCCCCCTCCCTTATTTTTCCTCCCCAGTCCCTCCCCTCTTCTCCTTCTTCCCTTGTCGGGCTCCAGCTTTCGCGGCCGCTAGCGCGGAGAAGGCTATGGAGTAAACGGGCGGGGGCGGCCAGGTGCCGAGGCTGAGCTGGTGCAGCCACGTCGCGTTTGGGGGGGCGGGGGAAGCGAGTTCCAGCGCCGCCCCTCCCGGGAGGTGAAAGGAAGAGGTGAGTGATCGCCCGCGGCCGCCGAGCGACCTGTGCCCGGGGCCGCGCTCCGCCCGGACGCCCTAGGCCGACGTGTAAGGAATCGGGAAGGACCTGCACTCGGGGTAGGCCTCCCAGAGCCGCCCCGCTGGCCGCTGTTGCCTGGTGACGGTCAGCACAGTGGACTCCCGTGTGAGCTCGGAGTCGGGGAGCAGCGAAGAGAAGAGTGGCTCCAAGAGGCCCGAGCCCCCCGAAGAGGCTTCGGGGGAACGGAGACCCGCAGTCGGAGGGGGAGTCACCCGCGCCGGCTTGGGAGCTCTGGTTTCCGCAACGGAGATCGGGGGTTCCCTTTTGGGAAATTGGACACTGCTCGGGCCGGGGTGCGACAGCTCCCCTCAGTTCTGAGGTCCGCCTCTGATAGAGTGGGTTCTTCCCCACCAGGGCCCTGTCGACCCGCGTCCTTGTCCGATTGTGGCGATAGTTCGGGGAAGAAATGTTATTGTGTGAGGTGGGTGGGGCGGGTGTTTTGTTAAGCATAAAAGTCCCCTTGGTAGCACCTGCTATCTTGTTTTACTAAGCGGTTGAAGGCTTTGCCCTAAAAAGATAAAAGCCTGCAAAAACTTCATGGGATCTGACTGAGCCCGTTCCAGTGATCTGTGATCAGAGAGACCGATATTATCTGCCCCTCTGGTATGACGCTGTAGAATCAGCACTGGAATTCGAACCACAAGGATGACAGTTCAAACCCTCCAGCTGCTCCTTGGAAACCTTATACAGGGTCTCTGTGAGTCAGAATGGATTCCACAGCTCTTAGCAACAACCAAGGCACTAAACAACAGAATATTATCACATCTGCCCCTTTAACAGTCTTGGTGACATTCCGGACTCAAGCCACTTAGTTACTAGTGATTTATGTCAGTGGTGACTTAATTGTAAATTGGCAACTGTTTGTTTGTTTTTATTTTGTAGATCAGATTTGGGAATTAGTTTATGATTACATCTTTTCTCCCTCCCCCGAATTGGATTCTACAAGTGAGTAGTTTTCTGAATTGCATGTCTCTTTTTTCTGGAAAACGATTAAAGAAAATGTTCCAAACAGCATGGTTGTGGCATGAAAAGCCAGGTGCTTCCTTTTGGACTTTGCAAGCCTTTTTGTTTGTCTTACTCTTATTTTTTAATATAAATATTAATTTTTTGAAAGCTTATTTATCAGCTGTATGCATACATGTTTGACACAGCATTAAATTGTAGCAAAGGACGCTTTGAGGGACTTGCCTTATGAAACTTTAGATCCACCTTACACACATGCAAAAACCTATTCTTTGTCTCTAAGATCCGTGTTGTTAAGTGCTGTTGGATCAGTTTGGACTGTCTGTATAGAGTTTCCAAGGCTGTAATTTGGAACAGAAACCCTTATCTTTCTCTCTCTGAACGACTGGCAGGTTTGAACCGTGGAGCTGTGGCTCCCAGTTCAGTGTTTATCCGAGTCACCGCGCTCCTTTACAATCTATAACACCCAATAAAATAAATGCAGACACATTGCATTCCTATACAATGGGATATTTCTGTACAGCTCAACCCTATAATTTAAAGGTTTCAGGTTTGTTTGAAATTCATGATCTATTCCTCAAGAAAAAATGACACCCTTTTGTTTAGATCAATGACTACCATCCCTTCTATAGGAGTAAAAGTTTGATAATTTCCTTTATCAATATCTTCTTTCCTACTCAATCTATTCTGATGTCTTACTGATTTTGGCTCTTGAATGTCTCATAGCTGCTGCTGTTCATCTACCTCATTACTATCCTAGTTCTGGCCACCATCATTTCTCATCTGGACCACTTCACTAGCCTGCTACTTATTGCACTTCTACACACTCTGGCTCACTGTGTAGTTTTCTTCTCCAAACTAGTGCACTATTCTAAAATGCACTCACTGTTTTTAAGGTAGATTACAATCTTTGGCATGCTCTACAAGGCCATGTTTTAATAGTCTCTTCTCCACAATATTTTTTGGCATTTTTTTCTCTCCTCCACCCTGTCTTCCTTTGAGGTTTTCTTTCTACGGCAGGTACATGTGACTTTGTTGTTGTTGTTAAGTGCCGTCGAGTCGGTTCCGACCCATAGCGACCCTGTACAGGGTTTCCGAGGGTGTAAATCTTTACGGGAGTAGAAAGCCTCATCTTTCTCCCGCGGAGCGGCTGGTAGTTTCGAACCGCTGACCTTAAGGTTCGCAGCCCGATTCGTAGCCACTACGCTACCAGAGCTCCTTAGCTTATGATATTTTCTTCTGTCTCAAAGTTTTCTTATTTACCGTTTTTTTTTTTTCTTTTAAATACTATTTTATTATGTTGTTGACAAAACTTCATACAACTTGTTAGGTTCCTGTTTGACAATTTTCCACACAAATTATTGTAACATTGTGTGTTAATGCTACATTTTTCATAATGATCAACACTGTCTCTGGCCATTACATTTCCAGTGCTCTAGTTTCATTTTAGTCTTTTCTTTGGAGTAAATGTTAACCATTTGGTCTCATATAATGACTTTTTAGTAGAGCACCAATCTTATGCGTGATATCTTTTATTTTGTGTGTCACTCTGCCATTTCGCATGATCAAAGGATAGTTTCAATTCAAGATTTAAAGAGTCTCCCAGGACTCTAGTTTCAGGGAGCCCTCTAGTCTCAACTGTTCCAGTTGTTGTTGTTGTTATGTGCTGTGGAGTTGGTTCCAACTCATAGCGACCCTACACAGGATTTCTGAGGCTGTAAATCTTTATGGGAGCAGACCGCCTCATCTTTCTCCCGCAGAACCGCTGGTAGTTCCGAACTGCTGACCTTGTGGCTCGCAGCCCGAACCTTTTTAAAGAATTTGAGTTTTGTTGTACGTTTTTCAGCCTTTGTATATGGGACCATTTATTGTGACCCCTATTAATAGTGGTAGCTGCGCACCCTTTAGTTCTGGTCTCATCATCGATGAGGTCGTGGCTCAGGTAGGCTATTCACTTTGTAGACTTGGTTTTTCTGCTCTGAGATTTTGCTTACCTTCGTAGTCTTTTCTTCCTCGTGAGCATGGACCAATAATTGTATTTTAAGTGACTTCCGAATGCGTTTAAGACTCCAGACGCTACTCTCTTCACTACATGGTTGCTATCGTTGTTAAGTGCCGTCTAGGTTACAGATTATGAATTTGTAAACTATATTATGGTGCTAGTTGTCCCATGAGACTGTGGTCATTAGGCTTCAAACCTAGAAAACCAATCTCAGCAGGTGTAGGATTATGTCTGAGGAGTAGCTGTAGTTGTGTCTTCAGTAAATTTATGTGCTGTACGCACATACCTGTATTTACACGTAAGTACATACTTCTGTTTGTTCTCAAATATTCTCACACCTGTTTTGAGGCGGCTTCAAAAAATTTTGTAGAAAAAATGGAATGAAAAGATGGGAATTTTTCCATGAACTTTCTGAAGCCCCTTCACATGCCTATATTGATCTGCATGTGATTGTTTTGAGGTCTTTGTTGGAGTTGTTGCCATCTTATATGTGAATTTACAAATTCTTTATGACAAACTGTCTTTGTCTTGAGCCCTTCTCAGTGACACTTACTGTGCCCATGCTGTACTACTCTTTCTTTTCATTTAATTAATGCTTACTCATCATTCAGCTCACTTCAGGAAGACTTTCTTCATTAGGATGTTGTTGTTGTTGTTGTTGTGAAGTGCCGTCGAGTCGGTTCCGACCCATAGAGACCCTGTACAGGGTTTCCGAGGGTATAGATTCCCCTAATTACATGTTCTCATAGTGCTGTTGCAGTGTTGCCATATTTATTAATACTTGTTGAGTACGTAACACCAGTTATCACCTCCAGGGGAAAAGTTCCATCGTTGAAGATAGTATTCCACTCCATAGTTCACAGGAGTCTGGGTCTCTAAGAAAGACACAACTCACACCCTAGCATCAGCTATCACTTCCCCATGGCCAGTGGGTCTCCCTCTGCAGCCAGCGCACACAACCTTCTTCTGCTCCTTCCCCTGTCCACTGGGAACAGAGATATGAGTGGGGTTGGCTGTATGCTGTATAACACAAGCATTTAGCTAAGCAGCTTGTGGGACTGTTGACGTGTGCTCAGGGCAAGGAGGAAAGGATGTTTTCATAAGATACTAGCAGCTATGAGATGTGTCAGAATGTCCAGGGAAAGAGAGCAGCCCACACTATCAGCTCATCCAGGAAGCCCGGCCAACACATCTGGTCTGGAGTACTAAGTCCTTCAGCATATTCGATGAATATATAATTAAATTAATTCACTGAGTGCTAACTTTGCCAAGCGTTGTACTAAGCATTTTACGTGTTATGGTTGTTAAAGTGCCATCAAGTCAGTTCTGATTCATAGTGACCCTGTATAGGGTTTCCAAAGAGCGACTGGTAGGTTTGTAGTTGACTTTTGATCTCACTGTGCCACATGGATGGCATTTTTCCTTTTTCTGGATTAGAAACAGAGTGAAGGAGGATAATTGATGGATGGTCACAGAGCTTGTATTAGAACTGCCGTTTGAACTCAGGTTGCCTTGCAACTGAAGAATACTTGTTGTTATGATGTGCTGTTGAGTCAATTCCGACCCATTGTGACCCTATATAGGGTTTTCATGGAGTGACTGGTGGGTTTGAACCACTGACCTTGCTATTCAAACTGACCTTGCAGTCCAGCGCATTATCCTGCAGCACCACACCAGGACTTAACTGTATAACATGATTTGCTGTGCATCACCCAGTGTGCTTGCTCAAAATAGAAATACCCTAACTGCACAGATTCTGATTCCAAAAATGTGGGGTAGTAGATAGGCATTTATATGATTTAACAAATTATCCAGGTTAATTAGATATTCACTGAAGTTTGAAAACCAGTGTCTTAGTACCTCAGTACATCCTGAATCTCAGCTTTCATATATTCTACATTGTAGATTTCATACTTTCTCAAATCAAGGAATAACTGTAGGCCTAAGGAAGTGACCTTATTTACTCTAATTTTCTGCTCAGTTATTTCTTCTCCACTTTTTTAGGTAAAGGGTCTGAATAGTGAGAAGGTACCACTCCTGTATCTGCGTTTTTAAAATTAATAATTTCAAGAATGGGATTGACTTGTATATATTGTACTAGTTAAGTGGACTAGAAAGGACTGGAATTTAATTGCTCCTCAGTACCCTCTTACATGACCCTGTTGGTTTTAAGTGCCATCCAGTCATTTCTGACTCATAGCAACAGGACCCTGGTAACAACTAAGAAATTTGGTCTTTGTATTTGCCTACTCTAGGCATTTCATGAGGTGGTGTTGATTATGTGCTTACTCTTAGCAACCCTGTATAGGATTTCTGAGGCAGTAAATCATTACAGGCACAGAAAGCCTCATCTATCTCCTGCGAGAAACCAGTAGATTCAGACTGCTGACCTTGCGCTTAGCAGACCAGCTCGTCATCCACTATGCTATCAAGGCTTCTTTGTCAAAGCATCTCATATGTGTGGGATCGAACAATAGCTGTCCTT